GCTCAGCGGAGGTGCACAAGCCTCGGAAGCACCGTGGCTTGGCCACTTGCCCGCAGCAGAAACCAGTCCCTTGCCCTTGCTCTGCAGGGCACCTCTGCTGGCATTGCTGCACTCCGGGTCTCACCAGCAAAGTGCCACAGAAGGGAGATCTTGGAGCAGATATTCTCTGACTGTGGTTTCATATCAAGCTAATAATATTTCCAGTTTTAGAGTGCATTTCCCTGCTTGGTAACATTGCAGGTATCAGTGTGTTCGACGGCACAGATTGTTTTCCTCGATAAAAATGCAAGTCATTCTTTAGCCTGCAAATTCCCTGTTATTTCCTGATCTGCTTGTGAGTCAGCCGAATGCCTGAGGGAGCACCGGCCCCTGCTCCACGCTGACCCCAAAGCTGCTGCTCCGTGATGCACAAAGCATCTGGTGTGGACAGCACAGCTTGGCTGTCCCGGGGCCAAGCAAGAACAGAGGAGACCTGGTGGACAAGGAGGAGGAAATAAGTGTTTGGAGGGAAGTGATTTATTTCTAGAGCCAGATAAGAGGCTCAGAAATGGGTGCGAAACATGCACAAGCACCAGGCACAAACCCATGCACGCTAGTGGAAGCCACTGTCCTGCAAACCCTGCCTGTGTTGACACACGTGCTGCTGGCTCAGCTCCTGTCCTCATTTTCCCTCCCTTTCCCAATGGCTTTGCTTTTACGGGATCCTTAGGTGGAAATACATAGGATACCACTTCTCTACCACCACCTCCAAGGTGCACGGGCATCCTTTAGCATCTCACACAGCTCTCCTATGTGATCTGAGTACTTTTTGCTGGTCACTCGACAGTGACAGCAATCCTGGCAGCACAAAATTGCCAGATCTAAAGATTTTATGAGCCTTGTGATAGTTGAGGAATTTCTTCACATCCCAGCTTATAGAGCCTGGGGTCACACTATAACTGCTGATTTAATAATAAAATTAGCCAATGTTTTAAAGTTTTTTGAATCCTTTTTTTGACCAGCTGCAGAGAAAAACAGGCCCCCAGGTGGCCCTGCTGACACAGAAATAAAGAATCTCCTCATGTTTATTGTGGTGGGATTTGTAGACTGATCATTTCTGGGAGGAGAAGTCTGACCTGAGAAGGGTGGTAAATACTATTTGCTGTAATTGTGCCACCTGGTGCCACAGGAAGGAAAAATACCTGGCATCTCATATTTCATTCCAAAGCTTTGGAGAAAGGTTACGGCACAGGGGCAAAGCCATTGCCATGCTCCTCAATCCCCTGATGGTCTTCATAGAAAAGAAGTGTTGGTCCTTGCCCTTGTCTGCAGCCTGACGTCACTGCTTGC